TCCTCCTCAAGCCGCTGCAGATCAGCCTTGCTCGGTATCACCTTGCGACACCAGCCGCACCAGCTGCGCACGTCACCTAGCTAGCAGCGGTGATTGAGAGTCTCCTCCACCCGTCATTTCTCATCCGCCGTGAGCAACGCCTCGTCGATCGTCGATCGGCCGCAGCGCGTCGTGCAGGCTTGCTTGTCCTGGACCTGGGATTCCAGCGGAGCAAGACGAGACGAAGCAAGACGAGCCGGTAGTGCTTAGGAAGAGCGGCAGACTGAAGCACGCTCTGACCTGGCCTGCCCTTTTCTGTGCTGTGCTGGCGAGAAGCAGCGACAGACGCCAACAAGCCACTACTACTACTACTCTCACTCTATTGACAGTTGCAGGAGAAGCGCGCCGACGTTCCTGATACCGCCACTGCGCCAGGACCCAGCTTATCGCGCGCTCGCACCGCCTGCTGGCTGCATACAACCCGCTCACAGCTACTGCATCTATTCATCTGCCCACCATGGCTGATCCTGCAAGCGATCACGGTGCAGAGCAGCAGCAGCAGCATCTGCCTTCCTCCTTAACCGCCTCTACCTTCTCCTCGCAAGCACAGGCCGCCGCCACCACCAACGCCCCGTCGCAATCGCAGCCACGCGCAGATGCCGCCGACGACGCATCGTCACACCAGCAGCCCCAACCATCGGCCATGCACGACCAGCACCAGCAACCGCAACCGCAACAGCAGCAGCAGCAGCAGCAGCAGCTAAGCAGCAGCCGCAGCGGCTCGGCCAGCCCGGACCGCGGCAACGTGCCCTCCGGCTCCGTCAAGGGCCAGCTGACGGTGCAGATCTCGCAGGGCCGCGGCCTCGTCCCCAGCTACGACCCGTACATCGTCTGCGTCTTCGAGCTCAACGAGTACATCTCCGGCGGCACCACGGAGGACGATGGCCTCTCGCCCGACGGGATCGCCATCCAGCAGTCGACGTCCACGACGTCCATGTCGACGATGGCCGCGGAGGGCGCGCCACACCGGCCCGTGCCCATCGCCGCGACCAAGGGCCGCGCCAGGACGAAGGAGCAGAAGCGCATGATGCAGATCACTGATCCGCAGTGGAACCATGACGCGACGTTGTACGTTGTTGCCGTGTTGCCGTGCCACCCCGTCCTCTGAGTAGCTACTGACCTTCCGCAGCGACGTCCTCGGCGAGGAGTCCAACATCGACTTCTCCGTGTACGACAGCTACGACCACGACAAGTTCCTCGGCCACGTCCGGCTGCGGCTGAGCTTCCGCGAGGAGAGCCTGTCCACGGAGGGCTGGTTCGCGCTGGAAGGATGGAACCGGCGCGGCGGCGAGAACATCTCCGGCGAGATCCATCTGAAGATGACCTTCCAGCGGTCCGAGAAGAAGGTGTTCGGCCCCAACGACTTCCAATTGCTGGCCCTTGTCGGCAAGGGCACCTTCGGCCAGGTGTACCAGGTCATGAAGAAGGACACGAAGCGCATCTACGCCATGAAGGTGCTCTCCAAGAAGGTGATCATCCAGAAGAAGGAGGTGCAGCACACCATCGGCGAGCGCAACATCCTCGTGCGCACCGCGCAGACCAACTCGCCCTTCATCGTCGGGCTCAAGTTCTCCTTCCAGACCCCGACAGACCTCTACCTAGTCACCGACTACATGTCCGGCGGCGAGCTGTTCTGGCACCTGCAGAAAGAAGGCCGCTTCGAGGAGCCGCGCGCCAAGTTCTACATCGCGGAGCTGATCCTCGCGCTCAAGCACCTGCACGATCACGACATCGTGTACCGCGACCTCAAGCCCGAGAACATCCTGCTCGATGCCAACGGGCACATTGCGCTCTGCGACTTCGGCTTGTCCAAGGCCAACCTGGCCTCCGACGACACCACCAACACCTTCTGCGGCACCACCGAGTACCTCGCGCCCGAGGTCCTGCTCGACGACCAGGGGTACACCAAGATGGTCGACTTCTGGTCGCTGGGCGTGCTTGTCTTCGAGATGTGCTGCGGCTGGAGCCCCTTCTACGCCGAAGACACGCAGCAGATGTACAAGAACATCGCCTTCGGCAAGGTGCGCTTCCCACGCGACGCGCTCAGCGTCGACGGCCGCAACTTCGTCAAGGGCCTGCTCAACCGCAACCCGAAGCACCGCATGGGCGCCACCAACGACGCGCTCGAGCTCATGGCCCACCCCTTCTTCGCGGACATCGACTGGGACCAGCTCGAGCAGAAGAACGTGCCGCCGCCGTTCAAGCCCAAGCTCACCTCCGAGATGGACACGTCCTACTTCGACCCGGAGTTCACCACCGCCATGGACCAGGCCAAGTCGCTCAACGCCCGCGCCGCGATGGCCGCCACCGTGCCGGGCTCCACCCCGCTCTCGCCGGGCATGCAGGCCAACTTCAAGGGGTTCACGTACGTCGACGAGTCGTCGATGGAGGCGCGCGCCCGCGAGGCCTGGGGCCAGGACGATGGCGCCGACCGCAGTCTGGCAGAGCACATGCACGACCCGGACCATCACCACCATCACCACCTCAACGGCAACGACCGGCTACACGATGACATCATGGAAGGCGTGGACCGGGGGTACCTCCACCGCAACGGCTACATCCAAGACCACCACCATCATACCGACTACATGCACAGGGACGGCGATGACGAGGCCGACATGGCGCGATCCCATCCTTCAGACACGCCTGATTACGTGCGCGACGGGGACGGCGAGGACGGGAAGGGTGACGATGACTGGGTGCGGCGCGCGCCCCCGACTGATGGGCGGGTGCCGGAAGGCGGGGTGTTTGCCAACTACGATGTCTGACGATTGATGGCGATGACTGCATCATGTCTTCCTTGCTCTGCTTGCCTTGCCTTGCTTCACTGACCCTGCCTTGCCCCGCTATTTCTGCCTCGTTTCTTCTCTGCTGCGTGCGCGTGCAGCTCAATGCCTATCATCACCGCCCTTGCTCCGAGTCATGGTCTGAGTGGTTAGGACGGAGAAGGCGCTGTCGTCTATGCATATAACACGGTCCGAAAAGCATTCACATGATCTCTCCAAGCACTCGCTCGCGTCCTTCAATGTCATCACCAGATCGGAATATTGCGTGCTAGCGAGCAGTCAGCGAGGCATTGCTCCTCATGGCTTGCGGTGCGCGTCGTAACATACTACCGCTGCTTGCTGCTGCGTTTGTCAGCAGGTCGGGGTCCAGCAGCTGGCGTAGCGAGCAAGTAGACTCAACCCAAGGCTGCAGCCATGGCGACATTGGCATGTAGGTGCTGCACACGCTGGTGATAGTGCTAGTCGCTCGCAATGCAGTAGGGCAGTGTCATGGTATACCACTACTGCTCCAATTGAGCTCGCCATTGACAGCGGACATGGAGTCTGCGGATTGTGAGACGCGCTGGCGTGCCCCTGGAGGCCGCGCCTGCGGAAAACCTCAAAATAGACACTTTGGCCGAGTGGTTAAGGCGCGAGCCTGCTATTTCCGATAGCTTCGCCAGCTCGTGGGTTCGCCCGCGTGAGTTCGAATCTCACAGGTGTCGTTTTTTGCTCGTAGACGCGCTGGACGCTGCGCACGTTGCGTGAGATGGATTTGCGCGGTCTTGACGGACGTGTAGACGCAAGGCGGACGCCGGTCTGAGGCCAATTGTGCAGTGATATGACGGTTGAGATGGCTATGTACAGCAGATGACTATTCGCGGTTCAGGACACCCCTGACCCAGGCGGGACACACTGAGGGCCGAAGTCATGGGGTTCGCTGGCGATGCATGGCCATCTCCGCACAGGCCTCCCCTCCCTCACCCCCCCGGCGCTCACAATTCTTTCAGCAGTTGCTTGCGTCCTCTGGTCAGAATGTTGAGCCTGGACTGGAAGTCATCGTTGTTGACTAGCAGTAAATGTCAGCGCAATTGCACCCTCATCGTGCGCCATCTGACCTCGCAACTCACTGTATGCACCACATAGTCTCCTCTTGCCAACGAACTCCGAGCGGCCGTGTAGCATGCGCCAATTGTCAAAGACTGCGCCGAGCAACGCAGCGAGTCAGCAAGTTGAGTCGACCAAACAAGCGAGGAGCCGAGGACGTAAGACACTCACTCATCGGCATGCCGGGCTCGAGCTGGAACCACATCTGCATGTCCGGCCTGCTCAGGATATCACTCCACTTCTTGGCGCAGACATACCAGGCGTTCATCGTCGTGACGCCGTACAGGTTCTGCGGTGCGCGATCTTCACTGTTCCAGCGCACTTGGAACAGCTCGTCCGTGACGGGGTCGTGATTCAACACAGGGAACGGGACGGCGGGCTTTATCATCGCGTCCTCGTTGCCCGAGGCGTGAGCGACCGTCTGCACTCCGCTCAGGATGCGATAGGCAAGCGGGTCCTCGCGCAGCAGGCGTCGCGCCGCCTCAAACCCGTCAATCAGCAACGACTCCCCTCCGCTGCCGTTGGTGTGCGAGAGCAGGTGGAACATCTGCAGGCGAGCTGGGTCGGTGAAGTAGGTGGTATCGGTGTGTGCACCAATCGGCAAAGTGGTATATGCCATGTCCTTCTTCGCGAGATCCGCCGTGAAGTCCCAAAAGCCGCCTGCACAGGCGAACACCGCGTGTCAGGTTCCATTGCTAGGGCACGAGCCAAGTGACGAAATCCACTCACCATAATGAGTCTCACGGATAAAGGCAATCCGCCGAATGAGCCGCTCAGTTGCCTCAGGTGTGGCCGGTGCTCCTTTGACGAATGCGAAACCGTACTTGTGCTATGAATTGGGATCGTTACCGTCAGTAGCTTTCCTGCGCTGTGTTGGACCCCCTACTCCTCTGTCGGCACATACAATCAAAGATGTCCATTGACCAACACCGTGGTCCGAACTCATCACCTCATCATACTCGACAATCGGTCTGTAGTCCGAGTCCGGCTTGACGAATTTGGCGTCCCTCCTGCATGGAGATATCAGATCAGCATAGCGCTTTTGCAACGTCATAGGCGCAGGTATTCCACGCTGATGACATCCTGAAAGCGACCAACCTGAAAACAGCGTCACAACGGCCGGATTCGGTCTTTGGAAGTTGGCGCACGCCGTGTTGATGATTCTTCAGCCATTGGGTGTCGTAGACGCTCTTATGGCCATCAATCCCTACGAGAACCCCGATATCAGCCTCAGTGGGTCATGCCATGACCACGGGTCATCCAACAGGAGTCGTATATCTCTCACAGTCGATCTCGACGCGATCAGTGAACGTGCGGACCTCGTCAGGTACAATGTCAAGAGGGATCTGATGAGGCACGTGTGTGATCATCTCCAGTCAGTCGCGGACCACCTATACTCATGTATGCCACCACTGAAGTGCGGTGACTGCGTCGGATTTTGGCATCTCTCACAGTCAAGAAGGGGTCCACCTGGCGCTGTTGCGTCTCTGGATGCTTCAGTGAAGGGCAATTCTCCCGAAGCCAGTAATTGGAGCTGCAGACCGCGAAGGAACGTCACGTACGTCAGCTAGGCGCCGACATGTCCTAAGCGTTGAACTAGCGGCGCGGGAGAGTGTAACTCAGCACGCACAATCTCGTCTGCTTGCCTCCAATCGGATTAAGGTCGATCAACGTCGATTTGACGACCTTGCCCTTGTTGTGGAGTAGCTCGTAGTCTAGATGGACAGGCTTCGAGATATGGGTGATTGGCACTGTGCCGGTGGTGCTCATCCAGCGAGAGGACGCGTGTTTCTGTGTCGTGATAGTGGCATGACAGCTGCTGCCAGATTGTACTGGCCGGCTGGGAAGGAGATGCCGCAACGGCGAAGCGGCCTGCCATTGGTAATAACCAGGGCCTTAGCTGCGTGTGACTTCAGACGAGGTCGGTTGGATTGACCTGCGAAGCATACATTGATTTGAGGTTTGAGAAGGGTGCGCAAGCTAGGCAATTGCACCACCGGTTACCGTTAGCCTGGATCGTGCATGGCGCATCCTAGGTGGTGTACGGCAGACGTGACAGCCTACCTAAGGCACGACACACCCGCCATGGCGATGAGGGTGTCAGCGTACGAGCCTCAGTACTGAGTGGCAGCTTTGGCCCCTGTAGAAGCTTCCGTCGTGCTGTCCAGAGTCAGAGTCTAATGCGGTTTCAACTGAAGGACCGGCACCAGCGATGGCGGGGTGACATGTCAGTCTCCTGGGCGCGAGACGCGAGTGCCGATCACATCCTCGGCATACAGTGGGGTCGGCACAGCAATGGAACAAGATTCACACGTCAAGGCCATTACTACAGATCTTTCGAAGGAAATGGGCAAATTGGCCGCCGCTGAATTTCACTGCATCCACGTCTGCTTCTTGGTGTTGAATAGACGTCTTCTGTACTGTCCGTCAACCATCAAATGTTTCGATGATAGTAGCAAAACGGCAGAAATGGTACTTCGAGGGCGAAGCACCCCTGTTCAGAGCTCCAGCAGCCTGCAGGTGCATTGCAGCGCCTGTGCACTCAAGCCCCACGGATTTGACGTCTACTCCACTGCGATGTCCGTCAGTTAACAACCATGTCGTGAGGGCAACCGTCAAAGCCAGAGTACTTACAAAGAGTTGCTGCGCTAATGCAGCTGCTGCATGTTTCATCCACTGAAACCGCAATCAACTCACATTGTGAACACAAGTACCGTTCCACTTTGACCATTGACGGAGCTGCAAGAACAAAAGACGTTTAATACAATTCACTTGCTTTGTGAAGTAGCTAGTAAGGCAGGGCAAACATGAATCTTGGTAGCGCGTTCTTATATGTGTAAAGCATGTAAGCCCAAACGTTGATCTTGGAGCATGATTTAAAATCAACAGAGGTACAATATGATGAAAACAAGCTTTGCGGCGGTGGTAGCCTACAGCCCTTTTGCGGTGAGGAGTGCTAAGCCGCGCGCCTAAGGCGCTAGTCGCTTAAGATAAGCGCTTTCGGAAGACCTCATTGTGGTTGGTTGAAGAACAACAGTGGCAAAGCGGGCGCTCGTTACTTACCAAGGCTATTCAAAGATTCTCGGCGGGCGACGAACGGGTCAGGATGAACGCATGGCTCCACCGATAAGCCGTTCCTGACGAACAGTCACAACGGGCGTTGTTTCAAAATAAGCCTCTTCACCGATGCAGAACATGACTCGCGCCAAAGCTATACCAAGCTTTGGAACAGAACAAGCATCTTCTTGCATTCGGCTATGATTTACTCCATGACAATCGGCTGCCTTCCTTGGCAGTCGGCCAAGAACAAGCATAATCACCAAGTTTTGGAGGAACGAAGTGCACTCAGCATTTGTTCTTCAACGAACACCACTGTAGCGTCTTGTCAGCAAACAATCGTTATAAATAGTTTGATAGAGATTGTGAGGTCTTTCAGAGAGAGTCTGGTACGTTCTTCTTTACAGGGGCGAAATACCTCTGGTTAGGCGACGTTAAATCACTGGTCTGTCGCTGACCATCGGCACGACGCCTGTTCTTACTAACGTGGCTCTATGAGCCGTCAACGTGAAGGTAAGGGGTAGTATAGTAGTAAATTCAATTGTGTCTCTTTAGTACAGGTTAGGGCCACTCCTGCGCTTGTCTCCTGCAGAAGTATCCGCAGGGAAGCCAGCGCACGTGGTTTCCAGCTCCTAATCTGAGCTAACGCTGGGTTAGCGACGTCGCCGGGGTGCCGGGTTGACTCGCCATGCCCGCCGACGTCCGCGGTGCTCCGCGTCGACGTCTTCCAGTTATGACGTCACAGAGGTGGTTGGCACCTTGAGCTAGGAAGGGGTCGACAAGCAAGCAACAAAGAAGAATCTACTCTCGTTACAGAACAAAGGCTGCGCTGAGAAGACGCTTTCGCTATGCCGGCTGCCTCGTTGGCAAACGGGATGGCCGGTCTTTATCACGACACAGCTCGTTGTGTAACGGGACCACCCTTGTTCACACCCTTCAAGCTCCGTACATCATATGAGACTAAACGTACCACGTATTTTCACGTATTGAACAAAGACGTCAAGCATTTATTTGGGCAATGTACTTGGCAACCTGCAGCGCTTTGGTAAATCCGTCGGCGAGTAGTTTGCCGTTGGTACAGTGGGACCACAATAGTTTCCGATCAAAGTCACCATCTGCATCAAAATGTCTGTAGTCCAGCTGCTTTAGTACTGGCCTCAGTTAATCAAAGCAGTCATGTCAGGCTTGTGATGCATTGGCAAGGACTTGAAGCAAGTCTACAGAAGGCATTTCCAGACCTAGCTCAGTGGTGAGCATGCTAGGAGGACCAAAGTTGGGTTGAGTAATAAGCTGAACAGCACAGTCAATAGCAGCGTCTGTATGTGTCCAAATATATATGCAAACCACATACGGGAACTTTTGTGTTCCTACTGTACGTAGGCGGAGTGGACCATGCCGCGCGCCACGCTCTTATGTAAGTAGGCGTGTTGCGTGATGTAGTATTGGTTGCGCGAGGTCTACCTGCTACCAAGAGCCATGAAAATTATGCTTTTATTAACTATGCAAAAATCAATCGGACCAGGGTCCCTGATGACGAAAAGCTTGGCATAAAGCGTGTCAA